ACTTAAGCACCAGATTACGGTGGGGAGAGATATAAATTGGTTGTCTGTTGGAGTAATGCACTATGAAAAATGGGCGGCAATGAGAAATATTCGATTGAGGCGGAGATAGAGTTGGGGTAGCTACTGCGAAGTTGAGTTTATGAATAATGTTGTATTGTTTTGGATGCGAGGACATAATATCATGAATCTATATATATTTTTATCTCTCGTCAGTATACAGATACAAAATTAAACAATATAGACATAATTATAAACAATTTATATATAGTGTGTGGTAATTATTTTCTTAAAATTATGGGTAGGTATAACTAGAATATATAACTTACACATATTACACGCTCGTACTTAGAATATTATCTGTTATAAAATAACAATAATTTCATAATGTTTTCCGTAGGTACATTTTACATAAGTAATAAAATCACGATAAAAATAGATATTAAAAATTAGATGTTATTAAAGTAAAAATTGTACACGATTGCAATAGGACAGACATTATTATGTTAGCGCAGAGTATATAGCTATAGCTAGGTATATAGTATATATACCTATAGTATAATAAATTGATTGCTGCAACCTTTGAACCTCATGAGGTATGCACACTTCCATAATTCTTTAAGTATATAATTTTATATTTGAGGCTAAGACATTTTTTTAATACTGTGGATAATTAACCAGGTATAGAAGAGGCAATTTTGGTACCTTTTTTTTCTATCGATTACAATAATTGAATTGCAGTAGGGGGTTAGGTTAGTTAGGTTAGGTAGGGTACGTATACGTGTATACTATGTATTTTCATTTCATACCCAGCGGCATCGATATATAGTATAAGTACAAATTTCTATTCACAATACTGTTGGTTTAACATTATGTCATTATACAAACTCTTCCTTTATCTGATCATCAAAATAATAATAAGTAACTTTTAAAACTTTTCCAAACCAATAATATATTATTTTTTTCAGACGTGCTTTAAAACATCGTAATTTTGTGAATTTTTCTGTGAGTCAAAAATATAATAGTATTGTACAACTTTTTTAAGATGATTTTTATTTTATGAATATACATTTTTCAAAAATTGCTATTATCATCAACTTGAGGGAAGTTTCTAGTAGCAAATTAGATCAAATTTGAAATTGGTGATGTTAGTAGGTCGTAATATTGAAAATTATCAATTAAAATAATAAGTTAAGAAAGCTGCCTCACTCTGCACTTGAGCTTGCTAAATTTCAGGTTTCTATCCGTATATTTATGTAAAGCAATAAATATTATATTTCCAAACTATACAATTTATGTACAGATAAATATATATCATATATTCTTATATGCTGACTAAAAATAAATACCTATTATAATGGATTTTAATCAACAATCGTAACTATATAGTTACATAATATTACAATAATATATAGTTATAAATTTGTGTACTGCAATCTGCAGGTGACTATAACTAATGGACGGACGGACAGACACAACGGAAATATAAATAAGGTGTTCTAAACTAATGATTACAAATGTAAAACGAACATTTGTTATTTAAATATTATTATTAAATAATAAAAAACTGTTTGGTAATCTTGGTTACCAAAATGTTAGATTATTTTAGCTCCGATTTTTTTCATCGTATTGATAGTGGGTATATGCTTACAACTATGTAGTACTAATGAAATATTCATACTAATGAATTCAAATTTAACCACATCCAGTGCCTATACTTAATGATGAGGTGCACTCGACACCTATAAAGATCATCACACACTTCAATGTTGGCGGTAAATTGTTTCCGGGTTAATTTTACCACCACCACTGCAGTGTATGTAGAGCCTTTATTTAGGAGGGGGGGGGGTAATGGGGCTGCAGCCCGGGCCCCGAAGTAATTATGGGCCCCAATCCATGACTGTAATCATATATGCAGTCATAAACTTTTTATTTATATATCAATTAACATTAAATGATTACTAACTTATAGCATAATTTTATTTATATATTATAATATTAAAAAATAATGAATATAATAATATGATAAGGTCATGATTTAGCAAAAATAACTGAATTTATAATTTAAGTTAAGGGGCCAAACCAAAAAATTGGCCCTGGGTCCTAACATTTCTAAGTAGGGCTCTGCAGACTATGTGAGGGATCTTATAATTATTAATACTGTATACCACACAGATAGGCTTTTTTTACTGCTGTGTAGGTAAGTATCATTTTTTAAATACATTGAAATAGTTTGTGAGCGTTAATAATATTTTTTTAAGCTCAACTAATTATAATTATTAAAATATCAACCATAAAAATAATAGCAAGTAATTTTGTAACGAAAAAATATTTGTAGAGAATGCCACTAGATAATATAGGCGTATGTATTATTATAGGAAATTTATACAATTATTATATTATTTCAACGGTATAATAATATAATAATCTGTAGGTGTTTATATATAGTATAGTATTTTTAAAAAGCATGATCACAATTATTATTTTATCAACAGTTGTAATTAAAACATAATATAAACAATATTACTATAGATCGTTATCTTGTTTATTTCGATATTTTTATGAAAATAATCCTATACATTGATAAACATTATTTTAATTTATATCATACAGTAGGCACCTGGCACAGTATAATATATACACATAATATAAAGGTGGCTTGAAAATAATTATTACAAATTCATGCAAGTCATTTAATTTATATTTTAATTAGATATTTTCATTGTGTCACTTTCAAATACCCATTTGCAAAAGCTAATAATTTAGTAATAATTGAATATTATCTAATTAATGTCAATGCAATGCCATAAATAAATACTCATTAAATAATAATTAAAAATCAAAATAAATTATATAATATTTATCTGTGTCTATATCAATATAATAAATAATATTATTCAATATAGTACTTAACCAAAAAAGACATTTAGAGTACCTATATTCTCTAAACATATAGGTATAACCTGATAATAATATATTTTATAATATATAATAGCTCACTACACTAAAATTAATTAAATAACGATGAAATTATGGTTTTATCTATAAGTATAGGTATACTTTATTGTTATTAAAATTTGTTAGGCCAATAAATATTTAAATTTATTCAAATATGACATAAACAACGATAACAATACATGGAATTATACATTTTATGTATACTTATATATAGGTAAATAGGTATATAGTAGGTACCTATACATAATTATAAAAACATATAATAATTGGTCCCGGAACTTGATGCATTTTTATTTATTTTTTCTAATGTATATATTTGAGACATCGTCGTTACAGAAATTTGATTCATGGAATATAGAATTTAATGATAGGTACAATTTTTATTTTGCATTTTTTGCATATTTAGGGAATTTGTTGATTAATTTAATTAATTTAATAATTTTTTAGTATTTTTGGTGCATTTTATTAATTTTTGTACTTTTTTAAAAATATATATTTGCATTTCGCTTGTTGAAAGTGACACTTTATTGTAACACATCCAGTTTCCATTAGCTTGTCGGTTATCGGCATTCATTATCTTTATCATTGTTGTCACAATTTACGATTATTGAATAAACTGTAGGCATGCAGATATACTATTTTAGGTCCAGTCACACAAAAAAATGTCCCAAAAGTCGATCAACTTATTTCGAACTGCAAAAAAATATTTTTGAACCCTTAAATTTTTAAAAACGTTAAATCATTGTAAAGTAATTTTTGATATTTTTGTGGTCATTTTTTAAGACATTTTTTGATGTTTATATAAGTCATTTAAACATTTTTTTTTGTGTGCATTTATTAAAGACTTTTAGGTCGCAAATTCCGGGCCCTAATAATAATCAATTAATATAATATATTAAAAATAGTCAATATTTAATCGGGGACGATGGAACGACAATGTAATTTATAATCAAATAAATATATATAGGTAATCGATAACGGTCGATTGACATATACAATATACATATCTCAGTCATATTCGTGTACATAATATAATACCACCAATTGCCAAATATTATCAAGATGTACCTAACCATGGCGTGCTCACGGGGGGTGGGGGGGAGTTGTTCCTGTTGTTTAACCCCCCCCCCATCCATTGACCGTTTTTAAGTGCAGTGATAACCCCCCTATATATGTTCCTAAAAATTATCCACAAGCCCCTCCCCCCCATTGAAATTCCTAAAGGCGCCACTGTACCAGATATATAGGTGTGTATACATTTATCATATTTATCATTTTATAACGTAAGTCTTGCTCTACATATTAGGTATTTATATCTATCGGTACATCGTATTATATTATGCATATAATCTAGAAATTCGCTAAACTAAAACGGGGTGAAAAATAATGCACCGGGATGTTTGGACCAATTTACATGATTCATGATCCCGGTGCAGGATAATGTGGGTTAATTTCAAACCGGTCTAGTTTAGCGAATTTCTAATATGTTTATTATAGTATCGACCCCATAATATAATATATTATTTTATTTTATATATTCAGCGGCAAAGACAAAACAATCGCATGTTTGCATTTTAAAATAATGTTAATAATAATAATAATATTATAATGATGCTTATTTTGCACTCTGTCTCAAGCCTAGGGAACGGCGCGCGCGGTACACGCCCATGAGCGACGCAGTCGACCAATGAGAGCGTGCCTTGCCGACCGGTTTCCGCGACGTTAGTACGGCGGGCGGGGTCGGTGCACAGCGCCGCCGACGCACCGGCCGACGGAGCAGTGTTCGTTTCACGGGCGGTAGTGTACGTTTTGCGGTCATCGCGCGAGTTCCATTCGCGACGCGCAGTGGTGTATGTTATCGACTCAGACACAGACACATATGTAAACATATTTTTATTCGATTTAATTTTTCGTTCGGTCATTAATCATCGTTATCGTTTTTCGTTCATTCATAATCGTATTATCGTTTTTCGTTTTCCGTTCATTCATTTATTGATTCATTCATTCGGTTTGCGACTCCAAGACGATATTTGGAAAATTTCACGATGTCCGTGTCCACGTTGAATATGACGCCCTACTTCACCGGATACCCGTTTCAAGGTAAAGGAAAATTACAATATTTTTAGGCCCTAACACTCGTACCACCCTCACTCTCGACGCTGTTACATATTATTATAATATATTATAGACACCTATATTATATTTGCTATAATTTACATTATATACCTTACCCGATTTGCACCCTGCAATATACCTATACATCATGATCATATCTACCTATAATTATACGCTCGTCCGAATTTCTTTACTCTGCATTTATTCATATTATAATATACCTATACTTACCTATTATAAGTCTTCTAAACAATTTCGTTTTTTGGGGCGCAATACAGGCCAGGGCCGCATGAACCAGCTCGGTGGCGTGTTCATCAACGGACGGCCGCTTCCCAACCACATCAGACTGAAGATCGTCGAAATGGCCGCGGCCGGTGTACGCCCGTGTGTCATATCTCGGCAGCTCAGGGTTTCGCACGGATGCGTGTCGAAAATCCTCAACCGGTACCAAGAGACCGGAAGTATACGGCCCGGCGTGATTGGCGGTAGCAAGCCTAGGGTGGCCACGCCGGACGTGGAGAGACGCATCGAGGAGTACAAGAAGGCCAACCCTGCCATGTTCAGCTGGGAGATCCGCGACAAGCTCGTAAAGGTGCGTTTACATTTATATGACTATCTATATACCTAATATGTATAGGTAAAGCCGCAAAGGTGTGGTATCTGGTGTATATGATATATATATATATATTAAAATTCAAACTAAATGTGGAACTAATAATATTGTCAAATGCTCCAAATATACACACCTTAGGTATATAGTTATATCGTCCATATGTTCACGCAAAACATTCAAAAACACGATTTCGAAAATAAGACTATAATTTGATTATTATAAGGCTGTACAAACTTAGAATGTTTCCATTTTTTCACTTTATTTTTTAATTCTATAATTGGGGTATTATATTTGAATTTTTCGCCTGAACGGCTGAACGTGGAGTTATAATAATTATACTTAAGTGGGTACTTACCTATTCATTTATTTTAGTCATATACATATACATATATATATATATATATATATATATATTAAGATAAATCAGAACGTGTATATATACCATAATATACCTACAGGCTAAAAACAAACGTGGTGATACAGAAACAGTAAAGATTGCTTCCCGATATTTCAATATATATATATATATACATATATATGTAGGGTGGGTGGTGGGTCATTAATTACAGATTTCAATAAAATATAATAATATACATCTTAAGTTTGTTTATGATATATAATATAGGTTTGTTTCCCCGTTGTGTATCCCCTATATAGGTATTTGGTACATATATTATACTAGAGTTAATATTTATTTTTATATATTAACTATTTGTTATAATATTAAATTATTAAATAAATATGACATGTTAAATATTATAATATATTCACTGCCGTTAAAGTCTCTAGACATCAAACGCACTCGCAAATATAATATAAAATCATAAAAATATCAACGTTCAGGTATATATCTACCTATACAGTCCGTACATGCGTTTGGGATCAATATGAAGTAATTCAGTTATTTGAAAATAATAGGTATTAAACCAATATAATATTAATTATATACATTGCGACGGTAGATAAAATTATTACAAAATATAACGAATAGTAATGAACAACGCCATTTCAATATTCATACATATATATTGTATGCCTTATTTGTGGACATTTATTAGTCAAGTTTTATCAATAATAATAATATATATACATGATACATGATACGAGTATACGACATATAAGATGAAATTCAGCAATATTATAATATAGCATTTTAGAATAAGATATTTTATAATTTATTATATAGATCTAAAAATGTAAATACTAAAATCAGTGTTTGTGACGTAATACTCTTTATCTATTTGTTTTTAGTTAGCATATATTTGACTATTTAAGTCTATTCATAATTTAAATATAAAAGGATTAACTTTAGCTAACTTTCACTCAGTTTTGTGTATAATTATATATAATATAATGAAAAAATGTATATTATCTATAATAGGTACCTAGGATATATAATATATATAAGATTTTAAAAACGCTTTTAAAAGTAACTATAAATAGTGGAATTCTATATAATGATACGACTAAGTATATAATATATTCACGTTTGATATAACTAAATAATTCGTTTTTAATTTTAAATCTTAAATTCGTACGCTATGACATGTTATTGTGAAGCCGATTTTGAATTTATTATATTATATGAATTACACTAGTTTTTAGGCGTATTAAAAATATAAATATTTTTCTTATTATCCCAGCAGGACGGTATTTGTGACAAAAACTCGGCCCCGTCTATCAGTTCCATCAGCCGACTACTGCGTGGCGGTAGAAGGGACGAGCTGAAAAACCATTCAATCGACGGTATTTTGGGTAAGTCTCAAACGATGATCTATATGCTCGCGTACATTATTATATTCTGTTGCGTATACTTGTATATAATCTGTACCTACGTGTATATATATGTATTGCTTTATTCTATATATAATATATTACACATCACCACAAACCGCACGCACAAAACACGCGCGCAGAGTAGGTATTTACCTACCTGCGAACAAGATGAATGTGTAAATAACGGGTTTTAAAGGGAAGAAGGAAAAAAACTACCTAAACGTCCACCCTCGCCGATTATTGTTACGTCTCAACTCTATCGCCTCCGCCACCGCCGTGCGATGTGCGCGCCTTATATCATAAGTACGCATATATATATATTATATTATATACGCTTTGGCTACTTGATGGCTACCGTAGGGAATACCGTTAGCCGAAAGGATATATAAACCATTATTGTCGAGAACGGACTACGAAAAAAAAAAAAAATAAGAAAAGGGGCGAAGAAAGCGGTGAAAGAATAATGTGCATAATACTATAATATATTATTATTATGAATAGCGAAAGGCGTGTCCGCCGCCTCGCGTGAAGTGCGTGTGAGAATCGCACGGCGGCGACCACCAAGGGTTTGGCTACCACAGGGGTTTTGGTTAACACTTTTCTACAAAAAAAAAAAAATTCACGGCCGTACAATATTTATCACCTATACGCGGGGTGGTCGAACACGGGCGTTTACGACCATAATATATTATAATACACCGGCCGCGGCTACCACTATAATGCTGCTTTAACATTATTAGGTATATATTGGTATACCTACGTAAGATATACATATTGTACTCTGTAGCCTTCGACGTTCAGGTGCACCTTACATAATATGCGAACGTACCTATGTCGTATATATATTATGTTATATTTTGGAAATTGTTTTTTTTTTTTTATATAGTCTTAACATTATATTATTATCATCGCAGTATATTATAATATTATTATTATGTTAACGCGTTATTCGGATTCGTCTAATAATAATCATAATACAGCAACGACTGCAGTTAGATATTATTATAATTATGTAATGAAAATCGAACGAGAACGACTCGAGTTTTTCGGTAAACGTGACGTTTATAATTTTTTTATATCTACGGACATCGGCAGCTTCAGAAGAACCCGTCTCCGCGGGGTGTCCCCTAATGTAAAAGGCTTGCCGACACGTAAAACCCGTTTAATTCGCCGTAATTTAAAAATGGATTTTTCTCCTTCAAAGCTGGCTGGCCCGCACACCTTATATTATTATTATTACTATTTTATTTTTTTTTTTTACATATTGGATTTAATGTCAACTCGCCAACACACTCGCGAGTTATTAGCCCAGTTTAATCGCTACCCACCGCGGCCGCCGAATAGGTTAGGTTTGTGAAGCAGGCGATGCTCTGTTGCTGTTAGGCATATATTATGTAGGTACTCTGTTATTCGTTGGTGATGATACAATTTATATATTATTCAAATACTTTATATAATACGGTATTGTTGTTTATTTTCCTCCGCCACGATATAAGCCCGTGAAAAAAATTTGAAAATTTACCGCCTTGGAGAAAAGGCGTGTCTCGCAAGTGAAGCGTTTTATTGAAAAAAAATAAAACGAAAAACTTCTTCTGTATATTCATTATTAACATAATATTATAATGTCTGAAAAAATAATACCCCACCAGATTAAATCGTTACTCTCCTCGTAAATAAATATGTGCACCTGTGTACTCTTACTATAAACATCCGTTTCTTTTTCAATCGTATCTACCTAGCGCGTAATATTTCTGAGTCGTGATTTCTTATTTAACTATTTATAATATTGCAGGCTATATTATATATTATGAATTATAATGCATTACGCTTATAAATCGTTTTTTAAATTTTTATCTGCTATGTCTACGATTTTTTATCACATTTGTGAATTATCACTATAAATAATTGCAATGACGCTTTCGACTGCGGTCAAAAAAAGTATAATATAGTACTTTTTCCGTCACACAACACGTGTAAAAATGAATTTATATCGCCTGTGTTTCAACAGTAGTTGACATGTCATCATTATTCACGGATATAATTATCGTAATAATAATTAACGGAAGCCAATGTCGATTAAACACTAATATAAAGTAAATACTGTAAATTAATCATGTATATAGCCATATAGGTATTCAATAGTACTCAATCGTCTCAATCATAATATATAATGATAATAATCTGTTGATCTTATATATATTATATGCATATTATACTAGGTGATTTATATAGGTATTGGTATAATGGTATGTCGTATGTAGATTGTAGATATACTCACTATTGTCTATTTCAAAAAGTTTCGACTTTTTTGAAAATTGTTTTCTTATAATATAATTTGATGTCATTGCAAAACGACAATAATAATTATTTATAAATAAAATTATAATTTTGAATTTTTTTTATCGTAATAAATGTTTAATTTCTTACTTTTTTGACGGACAACATTTTCAGTTTCATAATATTCTTAACCCTAAGTAGAATATTTTTTAGAATAGTTAGGTATTCGATGTGCACAAAAATCGATTTTTGAACGATTAATTAATTAAAGATTAGATGAGCAGAGCACTGGACCAAGTACGCGTCTATACTCGTTATGCCTTCCCTTGTGTCACTCTACTGTGTAAATTAATCAAGACTTTTCAGAATAATGAATGTAGACATTAATATCGATCACCTTGTATATTATACCTGACTTTAGTAGTATACAAAATCAGTGCAACTGCGCATAACAGGCTAACTATTTTTAAACTTGTTTAAAAAAAAAAAATAAAAACCCATACCAAACCAGTAATTTTTGTATAATTCCTCCGATAGTCGCGTAGTTTAAAATATGAATGCTCGGTTATATCTATATAGTAAGTACCTACACTTATCTATGTTTAGCCGAAGCAATTTACGACTGCTTTTATATTAATAATACGCTCGCGCTAATATTCTCGTGTGGTACATCAACTGCGTTATTTAACGGTGACCAGCAACGACGAACGTACAATCTCGCTAAATAATAATAATATTGTGCGGGAAAAACACGAACGAATTTAGATTTTTGTGTTTTATCATTAAAGTAGGTACTTCGCAAACGACGACGATTGCTGGAGCAGCGGTGGCCGGTGAGACTTATCTGCGTGTATGTACATTATTATGGTGCTGTACTAACTATATATACATTTACATTTTAAATAGATATCATCGTCGCGGGCCCGATGTGACGCCGATAACAATTTATCAGCAGACATTTTTTATTTCGTTTGTAATCCGCCTCCGATTTTAGGTATAGCCACCTATAATATAATATTAATTATTATTGCCGGTGTACACTGCTCAAATTGTTTATAACAATAATTATTAGTATTTCTCATGCATCGACCTTATCTCTGGAGAGTGGGCGGCGGCGGCGGCGGCGACGTACGAGTTCTGTCTGAATAAAAACAATAAAAATAACTTTTTCTCAGTATGACGTATAAATAATATGTGTTATGTATATAGGTACCTGATAAACATTATATATTATTATTATACAGTCGCCCACACCGCGCCGTTGTTGTGACTAAAAACCGTTTTAAGAGTTATTATCATCCGTGCAAAATATAATATTATATTATACGCGATTATACGAAAAGCAACGACGCATACAACACGAGTCCGAGTGACATATCACATAATATACAGGCGTATATTGGGTGGGAGACTTGGGGAGAGGGCTTAAGTCCTCCCGGGAAGATTTATTCATTTTATATACGACACGTCTTATACGCGATATTAATAAAGATTTATAACGTAATATTAAAACATTTAAATAAACATATTATCGTCATTTAATATTTATTTATTTACTTTACCCATATGGCTGTACAATAATAAGTTTGAAGGGGGTCAAAATGTAAATTCAACTTTCAAGGTTAAAGTTCCGTTCAAGGGGAAAATGTCATTTCAACAATTTGGACAAATATCTGCCAACGAGTCTGTGAATCGAGATAAATCAATCGAAACGCGTGGCCTATATTATATTATAGTAGTTTTAATACGATTTGTACTCGGCAGTCGTTTTGTGGCGGCGTCGCGCGCGTGTGTATATACTTACCTAATAATAATATACGCTGCAGCATAATATGTGAGCCTCGGCGGCTTATTGCCGACCGGACAATATTATATACACATCACACGCACATTTACGATTTCGGGCCGCCCAACACTTGGCGGTATCATCTTTAATAATAGATTCGGTGGTTGAGATTTTTTCGATTTTTATTTTTTTTTTATTACCATTAGTATTTAGTATTACAATATTATTATAACATAATATTATATAGGTGGTATGGGCCGGTATACTCGACATCGGTTATTATGTAAATCGTTCTCGTAGATAAGACGCGCGCTGCGGAACCGGACTCGGCTCGGGGTTGGGTAATTACTCGAAAACGGGTAAAAGAGAGGATACCCAACACACACACACATCCACACTCTCACACACACAACCACACACTCACACACACTCACACACACATGCATACATATTACATACATACATATACACACATGCAGTGAATATCATACCAACGCGACGGACATACAACGACCGTATAGTTTTGCGCCCGGAGCACGTTAGATGAGGTTAAATGATTTCCTGGACGGCGGTGCGCGCGTTCGCGATCGTTCCAAATGCGGGAATATAGGTAGGTATATCGGTAACAATAATAATAATATTATATTAATAATTATTATTATAATACACTGCTGGCGACGCGTGATTGAACGTACGGTATTTGTTAACACTGTCAAACAGTGAGACGTGAAATCAATCAACTCGCGGGCTTATTATCATTTGCATATCGCATATAATATATTATGGGTCCGGAGATTTCTCGTAAATCTACCTACCTACCTACCTACCTAGTACCTGCCTATAATACAAACACACACAATATTATAATAATATCACGTCCGTACGGGCTGCGTATAATATTATGTGTATATAGTATATATTCCGATCGTTCATTCGTTCGTTATATTCGTAATGGGCGCATATGCACGTATACTAATAATACGTAAATACTAAATGTGCATACCTATATAATAGGCGTTGTATGCCTACACACGGTCCAGCTATAAAATAAAAATGCACATTGGACATACAGCGTAATAGCATTTTGGCATTTTGCAGGTAGCGCGCAAATCGTCATAGCCGGTAGGAAATACCCTCAGATTTAGTATAGGTACGTGGAAATTCTATGGCAGTAGGTCCCTATTACCCACAATATATGCATAATATACAAGGTGACCCTACACCAAAACAATGGTACTGTGTATACCCTAAGGTATAATGAGAAGTACATATATTATAATATCACAAAAGTGATCCAAATAAAAAATGCATATTAAACAATGTAGGTACTTACCACATAATTGATACTTATTATCAGGTATATTTATTATTTATATAGTTACTTTAAATCGTCTAGAGTATTGACTCAAGTAGGAAATAATATATCACCTTATAAATTATAATATATTTGTCGGATAAGCTTTTATACGATAGTAATTATTCCCTGACTGTCTCGATTTGGTACTAGTGTAAGCCATCAGATGCGACGAAGTTGGCACGAAAAGAGGGGCGTGAAATTATATTGTACACAAATCTACAATAATACGAACGCTTTATAATAAACTGTTATAACAGCTCGAATGTCATAATGTGTGTACGATTGTTGAAACTCTTCTTTTTCGGTTCTGTTCAAAGGTCCTAGCAGCGCCGACGATTCTGACACTGAATCGGAACCTGGTTTCCACTTGAAACGCAAACAGCGCCGGAGCCGAACCACGTTTACTGGCGAGCAACTCGAAGACTTGGAGCGCGCATTCCACAAGTCCCAGTATCCAGATGTGTACACCAGAGAAGAGCTGGCCCAAAAGTAAGACTTTTTTTATTAACTAATCTAACAATATTCAAACGTTATAGAGGATTCTATGAACACAAAAGTAAGACATTTTTGTTCGGAATGAGGTTATATGGTTCTAACGTTTCATATTTATATTGGCTTTGATGTGTTTACCCTTATGTTTGTCGGAAACAAATCCACGTTAGTATGAAAATTTGGTTAATGAACGCGGTGACCTGCGCTGTGATTTTTTGCTGTATCTATATATTATTAATTTCAAATTTCATTATCTAAAACAGAATATTTGTCTAAAAAATTCGACGTTTATAAATTAGGATTTCGCTTTCTATATAGATAGTAGATACATATTATATGTATAGAGATAACTCATTCGTATTATAATGACCTATGGAATTACATATTAGGGGTTCACCAAAACATCTAACTTAAACCAAACTAGTATATTAAAGCTTTAGCACAAAAATATAGGAGTGCATAAAAATTAATAGTGGTGACGAGAGCCGGCGAAATTCTTGGAGCCAACATCACGTCATATTATCTTATACCTAAATTATAACCCTGTATTATTTTAAACGCACCGAGAAAAGGGGAACGTAATGAAATAAACCGAATAATAAGGGGCGTACTGGTGATTCGTCGAAACGGTCTCGGGAGGGTATCTATTAGGCACATATTATTTTAATACATATACGTCATATGCAGTGTGTGCGCGGTGGTAATTGCGGCTGACGGCGTCTCGTGAAAGTGAATATCATAAGCCGCCGCACACCACGCGACTATCTCACGATCGGCCCTCTGTATATACTCCCCACCTGTAAAATACGACGACGACACAAAGGTCACGGCGTGCGATCGAGGTCTTTCCAGGGTTTTCGGGGTTCGTGAAAACTTTCAAACGGCAATTATTTCGCAGACAGACAGACACTGCACGTCATGTCCAAGTCGTGTTTTTCCGGGTCGAGAGATGTGTCACTGATCGTGTTTTTTTTTTTTTTGCCATTTTCATTACGACTTACCTATAGTGATAATTATTGTTACGCATACGTCGTTCGGACGTATCAGACGAGAGGAGGTCAGTAACGTGCGTGCCTAATCTAGGCTGTGACTATATATGACGTGTGAAATTTCGACCGAATCGTCTTCCTAGACTGCAATTGCTGCGTATTATAATATTATGTTGCGCGCACACACTTTCCAACATTTCGAATTTTTCGAACATCCCTATATCCGTAATGTCTCTTTTAAATATTTCGAAAATATTAATGACTTGGCGCTATCCATTCAACGGTCTATATCGTATAGAATTTAAATTCTGGTCAGCATATATTATATGAATGAAAAATTGTTATTAGGTACGAATCACGCATAGGTACTGTGAGATGCTATGTCTAATCAGACGCATCAGATCGTATACCTAAATACCTAATATATTGTCATATATATATTTTGTGTATCGGTACTTACCTAACCGCGGTTCTGTTTTGTTTTCTGTCTCCAGAACCAAACTCACCGAGGCCAGGGTGCAAGTGTGGTTCAGCAATCGCCGGGCTCGTCTCCGCAAGCAAATGGGCACTCACCAGCACATGAACGCCGCTGCAGCGGCAGCGTTTAACCCGGCCGCGGCGGTCGTGAGCCTCTCGGCCGGCTCGTTCCAGTCCTCGTCCGGCAGCCAACACGGAGCTCACGGCCAGTATGGTGGCCACGACCATCACTCGACCACCGCTGCGTCAAACTTCAATTCGCCCCAAGGTAAGCACACTGAGCGCGATTTTATACATTTCTCGGCGGTATTATATAGGGCCCTACTACAATATAATAATTGTTGCGTTTCCGAGTTTCTATGATTTTTTTCTACTAGATCATAGGCAACCTACATAAATTAATATGATTCCCTTTCGACCGAAACATCGAACGTTTTTAAGACATTGATTTGAGATTTCAATCATTTCTGCAGTAACAGTGTCAAGATAAAATTAATGACCGCGGACGATAATATTATATTAATATCTTATCGCATATTTATCTTGTAAACATGTCGTGTATTGTGCGTGACGATCACGGTTTACGATAGACTATCTTAAACCGTGGTGACGATGCAGGCATAGATGACGCGTTTAAGTTTTGTATGATTTGAAATATACTTACCCACTTCAAAATTTAAAGTAATAAAATCATCATTAATTGTTATCGTCAAAACACTCGTCGTGCAAACCAAAAACAAAATAAAATAAAATATGTGGTGCACAATTTCGCATAAACACCGCTCAGCGATACATAGGTACTATAAGTGCACAACAAGCGCACATTTAGTTAATTTTAATAGAGCAACAATAATATGCTTGAGCCCAATACACACACACTTGGGAATAATATGACGCGAGTGTACAGGCATTATATTATACATACCGGTAATATACTGCGCGGGCGCGAGCGGCCATCACGGAAATTACACGGTGCGCGACGATTAATACACACCGCGGTAATGTTTTAATGGGTATAATATTATATATTTTATACTCTTTGAAGTTTGGCCGTAATTTCGACGTGTACCGCCGCCGCCGCCGTAATAATAACCGTGTTCGGGCCAGCGCGAGAGGTGAACTCGCGATCATACGCATATATAGCTGGTATGTATAGTACGACCGAACACGAACCGGGCCGGAAATTATACGAAACCTACCGAGCACGTATACACATTTATACATAGGTAGGTATTATATTAATATAAGCGCACACGCGGGGACGCTCATCGTGAGTGCGATTTTCATTTCTCATTTAATTCCGTAAACGAAATCGCGTACCTACGTGTTATTTCATTATATAGAATATAATATATTATGTGCATCTACATAATAATATTATATAAATAAGTACCTCCGCGGCGCAAGCACACGACAGCGACAACAAACAATTTTAATATAAAACGATAAAAAATAATATTCTAGTCGAGCGGCCATCATCGCGTCCGTATATCATATAAAATATTATGTAGATATACATGTGTTATAGGGGGGAAGAGGGGGATGAGAAAAATCGTTTTATACAGGATATGCGTATATTATATATTTAGGGCGACGATGCCATTTTTACGCTCCCCTAGTCGTCGTCACCTATATAATGTAACACGTTATGCGTCCGACCCCGCTCAGAGTGCACCCCGGCCATTTCCCGAGCACAAAACTACCCCTTCGCCCCAGTTTCTTCACCCCGCTGATTTTTTCCGTCGTTTTTTGCTTCCGCAGGGACTTCCCACGGCACGTGGCCCACCGCCGCCGCCGCCACTGGATACTATCCGGCGACTTCCTGCAACTACGGGCCAGGCGGCAGTGGCGTGAACGGCGGTACGTCCGCCGACGCCATGTACCACCACCCGCACCACGCGCACCACCAGCACAACAACAATAACAACAACAACGGTGGCGCTTCGTATTCGCCTCAGGGAACTGCGGTCGACCATCATTCGTTGGGATGGACAAAGCCCAACAAGGACGTGACAGCCGCCGCTACTTGGAGCCCGGACAATTACTCGTGAGTACCTATAACATCGTAACCTATATTATATAAGTAGACGAGAACAGAGAAAAAAATTGTCTTATTTTACCTACAGTAGCTATTGTCGAGCAAACCTGCTTTGTAGGTGTTTTGTGTTATGTGAATATAATATAATATTATTATAAACACTTAAAACACTGATCCAGTGGTGGCTCGTGGACTTCTTATAGGTATTACGATGGCTAGAGCCTGGTATATTTGCACAGGTATATTAAAAAAATTCTTGGGGCAAAAAAAATATATAAAACTCACAAAACACAAAGAATACTGTTTCTTCATTACATAATCATGTTATATTTCTTTATTATCGTGACTACAAAACACGTAATTGTATAATGTTATGACTTATGAGGATGCCATAGAAATACCATACAAATCGACTTGATAAATTCTTATAGAATTATAACATGAGGTACACCATTTTTTTTTTCGTACTTCTAACTAATCGACAGATTAACGTAATTTAGTACCTATATGAGGCATCATTTTTTCATGACGTATATTTTTTTACTACCGTCCCCAACTATTTTGAGTAACAGCGCCACAGTTGTTTGTATTATCTGCACATCCATAAATGTCCTGATATATAATGGTTTGTCCAAATTTTTTTTTAGTACAGAATAGTAAATATAAATATGACATGATATAAAGTATAATGGGCTCCACTGGGCCAGCTTGTGTGGGGGCCCATACAGTCATACTTATATAGGCTACATCATTGATCAAATACAAAGAATTGTTAGTCGATAAGGATTTATATTTTTTTCCTTCCCTGCATTCTCTCTAGGTATGGAGTCGAGCCTCCACGGATAAATAGTGATGATGATGGTTGGGGCATCATGTCTCCCGCACTTTATTATATACCGAGTAATACGTGTAATTCACAAAATATCTAATCAGACTTGAACTGTGTTTTGACTCGTACAATGATATAATATGGGGATTACGACGAGGGTCGGAAACAATTATCGTCCGTTGCCGTGGCGGTGGAGGAGTCATTACATTATTAAACTTAAATAAAACAATTTCTAATTAGATTACCCGTGATTTGTTTCGTTTTTTCCCCTTTTTACTTACTGCTCTTCTTAACCACCGCCGCCGCCACTGCCGTCACCGCCACTACTCGTGAGTAATGGTGAGAAATTAATATGGTTCGCCGTAGAAATTACGGACCGCCGCCGCGTATGAAATGGATTAAAGCCGATAAATCAAGATAATGAAATTTTTTTTCTCTCTGGCCCGCGTGTAGATATAGGTAGGTACTGCAGGTACGGCGCACGCGTATATACTGCAGCGTAGGTATGTACAAAATATAATATTTTCCCTCATTTCGATCGGTCAGTTGAAAAGCACTTGTCATTAGATTCCGTGTGTATTACCACCCATGCTGCGGCAGTCGGTCTGTTGCAGCGGCAGTCTCGCGGGTAACCGGTGACTTTTACAAATCGACTATATTATATTATTATATATATACACGCTTGTACCTATCGCCGAGCGCTGGAATAATAATAATAATGACCACGGTGTGCGCATATATACCTATATGTATGTAATTCATTAGAACGAAAAAATAAAAAATTATCTCTTCAGAACTTCAGAAGCCCTCCGGTTCGCATTCATTACGCCACGCGTCAGTGATGTTGTCGAGGCTATAATATTATTATACATCGTATGTTATACCTACCTACGTGTATAATAATATAATATTATTATATTATGCAGTGGCGATCGTCAATTTTCCGATTTCTGTTTTTTATTTTTACGTCCACCGAAAAAATAATGATTTTGCGATGTCTACGGTATTAGCTCAGAGTGTACGCCGCTGATATCATATGATATAATATATAATAATATATAATATAAAATGCATCGTACCATGTAAATAGTGCAATACTGCAATCTGCAGAAACACGGGATGACTACGACTCTTGCTATAATACTGCATCATCTTGATGACATTTAGATACTGCTTTTCTTCCGAAAATAACGGGGTTTGGATGTAGATATTCAGGTGTTCGGAATGAAAGATTTAAATAAACATTTGCGTGTTAATTACCGTTATTTTCCGGGTAAAGTAGACCTGGCTACTAGACTACAATATTATAATATATTATATCAACTCATAAAATATTATTACGATAAACCTAACTGTATGATTATATTATTAGGCGTACTTATAAAATTATCATTGAATAAATAAAGATAATAGATAAAGACACCAACGATGGTTTAATTTCTTAAAAAGTCATAACATAATATTATTATCCTTTGTATCTGCCAATAATTAATAAAATGCTAACCACAAGTTCACATTAAAAGGACGTTACGCACGCATATCGACGTCTTTTGTCTCCGACTAATAAACATAGGTACAGCATACAAAACGTGTGCTCTGCTCTGCGGAAACAAAACTTGTGGGTGTAGCGAAGGAGAGACTTAACACGTAATACTATTATGTCACATAACATTTTTATAATAAAAAAATAATAGCGGGTTGGGGGTTCCGGTAAATTAGGGTGTAAAATCTTGTATTATTATAACTATCAAACTTTCGATCACAACTCGAAGTCGTGCAGTGTGCTCTGGATTTCAAAAATGTAATTTCATGTTTTATTTCGCAGGTTCTTTGCCGGCGGCAACACCATATACGGGTCTGGTTCCAATTTGGCTCCGCACTCGGCAAGCGAAGCCAAGTCTGGCTATCCATACTTCGGTCAACTGTCCCAAATGGACGCCATGTGTGGCAGGGTGCATTAAACTGCATTAACTGCAGTGGTGGAGGCTTTTATTATATCGGCGTAAGAGACGTCGTGCCGTTTTCAAACTCGTCCCCTTTCCTTTTCAGCAATGTATATTATTGCAGTGTTTTCTCTCGGCGAATCCGATCCGCAGCAATATAAACTACGCAAGAACATATTTTTATTCGATCATAATGTTATATGAATATTGTATATTATTAAACTATTATTATTATTATTACTATTATTAGCAAATATTATCATTATTATTTTATTGTAAATATATACAAAACTAACGTCTAACGGTATAGTAAAACTTAACGCGTATACCTATATAATACATTGTAACTATATATAGTATTATAATTTTACACTAAAAATGTTTTTTTTTTTTCTTAAAAAGGTGCACAGCGCAATTCGTATTGTGCATATTATTATGTAGTTTTAAAAAGAGTAAAGATAAGTTTTACAAAAAAAAAAACATTGTACATTATTTTCATATAATATAATATTATAATATTATGTAAAAAAGATCCAGCCAGTGTTATATCATATTATGTCATACACTCTATATATTATATATTATATCATGTACATTATATTATATATACTAATAAAATCGTCGCCGATACGTGTTTATAATACATTTACGTTTTCTTTTCATTATTGCGCAGTGTGTAATGCGTATTGTTGTGGACGTACATAATAAAATAATATTATTACAAAGACGACGACGACCGAAACTGACCGCTCGCCGGCAACGCATTATTGTGTCGTCGACAGGTCCTCCTCGTCCGGCCGATGACGCGTATTTTACCGCGCCGCCGTGTACTTACAGTGTGACAATTTTTGAAAAGGTTGGTGCGACCCAAAAACTGAATACTCACGTACAAACCACTATATATTTATACACATAACATAAAGTGGTGGTTATCGGCGTCCGTTATTTAGGAAGTCCCTCGGCAGCTGATGCGCAAAGAAAAATCACATTTTCGATTGCGTGCTGATGACGGCGTCTGCGTGTGCGTTCGAGTGTGGTGTGCGGTGGTCGAATTTTACTTATTTTAGATGAATAATTGCACCCGAGTCAGAAAATAATAACTCGTTACGATCATTATATAAAACGTATTTATTTAGGTAAAACAAAGTTTTAATATTAAAAAAAGTTTTTCAATGTTTATTGAAGTTATACTTCTTTACGCACGGTAGTGAGGAAAAGAAAAGCGAACGGGCGGCCGTACGAACGCGAAAGCGTACATGTCCGTAAATAAATAAATATTGTCATGGTAATGTTGTTTTATTATATATTATAATATATATATATATCTGTATATATAAAACAGTAAGCTGGATTGACTGCTATCAACGCACAGCTCAAACCATTGGACGGATCTGGCTGAAATTTGGCATACAGATAGCTATTATATGATGTAGACGTGCGCTAAGAAAGGATTTTTCGAAATTCGCATTTTAAATAGGTGCTCAAACAGGGACATTGAGATTCAAGATGGAAATTGGAAATTTTATTTTTATTTATTAATAGTTGCCATTGGTTACAGTCTACATTAGAAATTAGCATCTATTTATTGGTTGCCATTGGTTATTCGGGCAGATCAGGTACAAGCTTGCATCAAATCAAATTATTGAACATTGCCTACCAGGGTGGCTGAGTTGCACTTACCCCAGCAAGTTACACCCAAAAGGAGTTCAACAATCATAATTTTTTTAAGAGTCGTGATTTTTTACGAGCAACCAAATTTGTTATATTAATCCACCGTATTATATCAAAATAAACTTGGTATAACTTTGATAATTTAGAGTTAAATCATACACTTCCGTACAAACAGAACGGGGTCCGCGATCTACCGCAGGTAGATTGCCTACCTGATAATGTACTGCTGCGATTCAGAATTTTTATTCCAGGCAACGGAAAAGATAAGATAAATTTTGAACACCATACACCGAATATTGAATAACGAATTGAACAAAGTTTTAGTCATAACTCATATTGAGTTGATACATTTAAAGGGCGACGAAGTGCACTGGATCAGCTAGTATTATATATTATAATCGGGCCATACTAATTAATATGAATAATTAATGATCGATTATTATTTATTTTTATTATTATTATTAGTATTCACTCACAAATCTATTGTCTGGATAAAAACAATACTACAAACAATTATCCATCGATCTGTCGAATAAAAATATAAAAAAAATAATAAAACTATCAATTATAAATAATTCCGGATACTTCTTCTCATTTTTTAAATTAATTAATATTTTTTTCTTTCTTTTTCACTCACTCACGTGTACCATTCAAAAGAAGTTTAACTTCCAGCGCGCGTACTGGTAACACCACACATGGTTTTTTCTTTATAGTATAGTTTAAAATTTAGTATTTTTTTTAAAAATGTATACATTCAAAATACACCTACTACATACCTAGGTACCATAACCTACGTTTATTTCTAAGTAAATCGGTTACGTCTCGTAATAACTATATTACATTATGACATCGTACGATTAGAGTACATCACCCGTTTCGGTTACCCGAGTGCATTTCGAACATTTTGGTATTGGGTTTGGACCAATGCAGTCCTACAGTGTACACACATGTGAGGGACTGTCCGGCGAGCGACTGCGACGCATAATATTATATATTGTTGTACACACAATAATGACATATAATTGCGTCGGCAATATAAACTCGAGTGTGGTCCTCACTCGACGATACGATGTGATGAAGTTTGGTTTAATCGTCCGTGAAACGTGTGATTCATAATTCGTATTAGGTATAATAATATAAATATAATGGACGTTTGAATCGAATGTCGTTGATCGTCATATTGTTGTTGTGTTCAAACGCTGCATGCGGATTTTCCGGTGTTTTATTTAATATTATAATATTTTTTTCGATATAAAATATATTATATAGATCATCGGATCCAAGTATAGATCGAAGAATATATAGGCCCGTAAAACGCACGCAACGTATAGCGAAAGGCCCACTTGGAGTGAGGTCAGATTATATTATTAGCTATATATGGATAATTATTATGTTTATTATTGGTCGCATACGAAATTTCACAGTTCGCAAATTTGAAAAAATTGCTTCTAGTGATGAGTATATGGGTATTTGATTTCGGGAAATTTAAACTGGAAATTCTCTGGAATCTTCCCAACACCCAAGGTGCCAGAAAGTGGGAGTGGGGGGAGGTCAAGCTCCTCCCACCTCTGTTTTAGTTGATATTAATTGTTTTATCACTTGTAAAAAAAAAATAAGTTTATATCAGTGAAGCACCCTTGGCAACACCGTGGCCATTTTAATTACTACACGTCTACACGTATATATATTTTTCATATAACATTATATTTCAATATTTAACTCAACTTGGCCATAAATTAATTGAACGCAATAAATGGTTTTTGCTCAAAAATAATGTGAGATAATATTTGAGGAAGACTTTTTTGGTGAGTTCGAAAATATATTAAGCACACCCAATATAATATTATAATACAAGTCTAATTCAAGGTTCACTTAAAATATGTCAGTCATTAGATTTTAAATGCATGTCGCATTCGTATAAATTAACTTTTTTTTCAAAGAAGAAGAAATATTGGATGTATGGGAATTTTTTTTTTGAAATATTTATTTTTTACCGGAAACATTCATTGAGGAATATTATCTATACATAGAAAATCACTACACACGCGTTTTAATTCAGATATTATACTATAATTGGTACCTGTACGTAATTAACCCTGTGTATGATGCATAGATATAGAGCCTATATTTTTGTAATTGTTTAAATTAATATTTTTTTTTGTAAAATGTAATACAAAATTGTGGCAACATCTCAAATTTTTTTTTGTTCAACCACGATGAAGGTTTTCTTTTGTATTTCCATATCCTTTGATGTGCCGACAAATTTGTTCAATCGTGTCGTAAAAAATATGTTTTATGCTCAATCGTGTGATAGCCGTTTCTAGTACCCAACTCGGATATGAGCTGTTAAAACAATTCCATTTATGGATAATAGGCACTGGCGCAACTATAGTACTCAGCTGGAGACTTGTTCACCCCCAAGTTTAAAGTGCACCCTTTTTCTATTATATTTTGATTATTTTGATGGAAAAGTTATCAATAAATACAAAAATGTTGTACCATACCCATATTGTATATTGAAGAATATAAGAATATATTTAAGAATATAGGTAGGAACTACTGTTTACCTGATAGGTACTTAGGTATTATTTCCCCAGGTATTATATAATATTATGAAATAATCTTTAGCTTATTTAATGTTGTACAGGAAGGTCACATACTCACAGATATGTAGTTATTACTTATTTGTGTAACAATAATAATATTATATTACCAGTTGACGGAATAACATTAAACACTGCAGGATAACGACATTTTATCCTTATCTTTGGCAGTATGAAAAACTGCCTTTGAATGTGAGTACGTTTACATTGTTTTCTTGTTTATAATTTGATATGGAATTAGTGTATTGATTATTGAATATAATATTTTATGTAATAGGTATCGTTTAACACAAAACATTTATTTATTTTTTCATTTTTTTACATACCTACCTACTGGTTATTACAAATAGCGCAGGGATGTTTGAAAAAAAATTGTTTCAATGTGATTTTGTTTATGAAGGGAAGCGTGCGAACATTTCTTCAGCCCCCGAGGTTTCGTAATTTTGCGCTTAAACCACCTGTGATGTGTATCGCTTCAAAAGTATATTTCTTTCACCTCTTCCCGGTCTTATGTTACACCCGTTTTTTATGGTATTATTTGTGTTATAAATTTATATATGTTTATTATTTATCTATATTATAACTTGAATGTAATAGCGATTATATTGTATAGGATGACTTCAGTGTCGAGTATGTTTCCACGCCACTATGCTTGTTGAACAACATTATATCACATCGACCATGTTGTTTAAAAGCATGAGGTATTACACGTTTTTTATTATGGTGTCCCTTGTAGGCCTAATC